TAAAGCCAATAATAATAATAACAATAATTAATAATAGTACTCAATATTAAGGAAAATAACCGTAAGTACTACTTCAAGTTCATTTGTTTAACAAACTATGACATTCGGATGTTTTACTGTTTTGTGTTCATTAAATTTTAGAATTTGCATGAACATTGGTTCGGAGTAGTTACACTACAGTTTAGGAAGGGCGTTACTATTGAAATATCTTTTATGTTTAACTTAATTGTTAATAAAACTTTTTCCTACTATGCACTGAATTCTTGACTTGCATGTGAAAACTTTAAAGTGTATGTTGTGGAAGTTTGTTTAGTTTTATATGCACTTGTCATTTATGACATGTAATTTCTTTTATCTCCGTAAATTACAACAGGACTTGACACTTACTATGAAAATACATAACGACCGTTGCTCAGGCATTCGACTATTGTTAATATTTTTGTATAGTATGATGTTTTTTTAATAAATGTCTATAAACATGTATCATTTTTTAAAGCAGTCAATTGCGGTCGTCATGTGGTTTGTTATGGAAATAAAAGTGGACATACGAGACATTCGAAATTGAACAAAAGATGGCGAATAAAGTGTGTAATTAGACGTACATTAAAAATTAGGGGATTATTTAAGCTGAAATTAGACAAGCTAGCGTGTATTTAGGCAGAAAGTAGACAATCCAGCGACATGTGAAACAAATAGAGAAAAATGGGTAATTCTGTATTCTTTTCCTTTGACGGGCGAAAAAGCAAATATTTTGGCACGTTCCGCCATTGATTCCCCGTCGTTTACCTTTATTTCTCCCTTATTAGTTGTTTGATCAAACAACTACATCCTCGAGAATGTAGAAAACGCTTACCGAATGGTAAAGTTCAGGTTTAACCAAAGAAAAAATTATGAAAACTAAGTTGTGTATTTAGAGTAAGATCAACTTACTTTATCTTCACTCGTAAAGCTAACAACTCTACTTGGAACGACCTCAGGCATCACGCAACGTCAAATCTCAAATTAGATCCATTATCCTTCAGTCTTCAATTACTGTGTGTACTCCAATAGTTTAAATGGTTATGAAGAGAATAATAGAAGCTTCTGCTTAATGGGCTTCCATATCTAGTAGCATTAGATCACCGATGCCTTCAGGTAAGGACATAAGTATATTAACGATAAAGAAGGAAAAATAATTTAGTAATATCATAATGAGATACTTATTCCTTAGGAACATGACAAGTTTTCTGTTAAAAGACTCTGACGAAGTCACTTATACTAGTTCGTCTGGCAGAGAATTCCAACATTTGACCGCTCTTAAGGAGTAGAAGATCTTTTCACAGTCCGTTCTGTTATGTTGACTCCAGTTTCCGGGTGTTACCCTCAAGGTTTGTGTTTGGATCAAGCCCAAGTAGGCATTTTATAGCAACTCAAATGCAATTGACTTTGTTCACATTTAATTCGGTTAAGTCATTTCGTCAAATTATTTAACGAACTGGATCATCCGTACAAGTACAACCTATCTGTATAATTGTGTATTTATTATTGTTGCGAGGGTGATTGCTTAACGAAGCACAGCCACTGCAATTTAAAACGATGCCTAGAAGTGCTTAGGACAATAGAAATCGTTAGGTCACACCTAAGACTTTTGCACTGTATTCCACAAAGGATCACTGATTGAGGGAGCTATTCATAAGACTTTAATTTGAGTCCCCGGACTGATTTCGTGGCTCGTCATTGGATACATTCTGGAGTGGTCTGAACTTTTCTGAAGAAAATCAGGAAATACTTTGTTTATGTACTCTAAACGAGGACGAATATAACTGTTGAAGATTGTGTGGGATGTTATCCTGTCGAAATGGCCGTAAATGCTCTTGAACATTGCCGGAGAGGCACATTCTCGGAAGGCACTTTTGTCATAGTTAGCATAAGACTACAGTTATAACATAGGAAACTCCTCTCTAGTAGTATCCCAAGTAGAAGAATATCTAGAAGTCCTGGCGCTCCATGATTTAAAGTCTTATGCTAACTGTGACAAAAATGCCTTCCGAGCAAACCTTGCACTGGTAATGTTGAAGCGCATTTTTGGACAGTCCGACGGAAGAACTTTTCGTATAATCTCCAATAGTTTCATCCGTCCCCACTTAGAGTACGGAAACATAGTACTCCCCCTCACTTCAAAAGGATAAGGACACTTTGGAGCGTATCGAACGGTGAGCCACGAAATCAGTTTGAGGACTCAAATTTAAACCTTGCGAAGAGCGCCTCCATTCACTAGACCTTTACCCATTAGAGAATAGGCGTCTTAGAGGTGATCTATTATTGGCTTATAGTATTCTCAATACTTCTGGACATCCTCTTGAACACCTACTTCAGCTTAGTTCCAACACTAACCTAAGGGGTAACACCCAAAAACTGGAGACGAAACATAGCAAAACGGAATGTAGACATGACTTCTATTCCTTAAGAGTTGTCGAATGCTGGAAATCGCTGCCGGCTAAGCTACTCCAAGCGACTTCTTAGGAGTCCTTCAGAAGGCAACTTGACCTATTCTTAAGGACCAAGGAGAGCATCATTCTATGATTTACCAATTTCTTTTCCTCTTTTATTGTTAACATACCTAGGTTCCTGCCTGGAGGATTTGGTGATCTGCTACTAGACGTGGAAGCCTGTTAAGCGAAAGCTTCTTCTATTCCGTCTACAACCATTTGAACCATTTGACTTCAGATCGTAGAATAGATATTTTGAACCAACGATACCTCTAGAGGGGAGTTACCTAAGTTGTATCCGTAGCCTGTAACATGTATCAGATGGACTTGAAGATGTTACAGGTATTTGGAGTTTGACAACACTTCGACCAGTGACACCTATACATGAGTCGTGCCCACCCATTGACATTAAAATCAGAAGCGAGGTGGTTCGAAGATATATTTGATAGGCTATCAATATATCGATAATCGAGTGATCTAAACTGGCTAGAGATTTCAGGAGGATTTGAGCACGATGTCCTCACTAATGTTTTAGTGCGGATGTATGCGGATGTATGACCGAGTGCCTTCAGCTAGGTGAGTCCATTAAAACTAATGTAGTCACCACCCAGTGTCCAAGACTTACAGAGCGATTGATTTCGAGGATTTATTTAACACTACAGACTACTTTTCACGTTGAAGTGCCAAAGATAAGTCTGTTGTTACCTACCTGTGTTTATGACAATAGTTTTGCTTTTTTATTAGGCGGTGCCTTATTTTGTCGACGTTTACGAAAACATAAGTACAGGGTGCGGTGTATTCAAACAGGTACGTTGCGTACATTTGTCGACAAATATCCCCCAAATACCCGACGTAAGGGGAAAACATCGATATTTCCCTTAAATAACCGGCGTAAATACGAAAAAGCGACATTTCTCCTTTATTTACGCTTTCGTCCCCTTTATTTCCTCTTTATTGGTTGCTTGGGACTTATTATAATAACTATATATCGTCACTTCTGTTATTTAAAAATAATATAAAACCATTTTACCTCAACTAAGTGTCACGAAATAACTGTATTCAAGTTTCATGAGCATGAATTCGCTCTTGTACTACAAAGGAAACGGCTTGATAATGCTATCTCAAACAGCTGTTCGGTTTAGAAATATGAATGAGTATGTATATGTGATGCACTGATTAAGAACCATGGGTTAACTGTCAAGTTCCACTTAGCACTTTTCTAAATGATTTTTAAGACGTCTACTGTGTGTAGATCCGTTTGCTATCTACTTCACCCGTCATTATAACGGTGTATTTGTATTCATCTTCCCTCATTTAGTGTCCATGATCTTTATTCTTCAATCTCATTCTCCTTAAACTACTTTTTGTGTTTGGCTTCCCATGGTAAAGAATACTGTTACTTTGTTTTCTCTACATCATGTTTTGCTGGTTCCTCTTGCTTCGCTACTGTGACGTGACAGCTTGAGTCAGTGAAATTCGGTCCCAATTTACCAATGATTAGTTGACTGAGTCACTCAAAAAATCAACATGGTTAGCGAATTTCCGATCGGCAATTTTCAATAACACTAACAACACTTGCTAAAGCACTTTGGGAGTAGTTCAGTCGGCCAGAACTGGACACAAAGCCTGCTGAAAACTAGGTTTATTCCTAAATTTATGTTGCTTCTATAAAAGTTGCTCATTATTTCATCGAAAAAGTATATGATGTCAGTTTTAGTTTGTCCTGTACATCTTATGCCCCTTTACTGACATTTAAATAGCCCGTTTCAGGATAAATTCTATTCCGAGGCACTATTTCTGTGTTTTTAGACACATTACAATGCACTACTATTACCGACCGCAGTTCTGAGAGTGTTCCAAAAACAAAATTTACACTATTGTTTTGAATTTTCTCTGTTATTCTTGTCAACTTCGTCTTATTATTCTAGTGTGTTGTGGAAAACTGTTTGATGTACATTTATCACTTGTCCTAAGTTGACTATCATCGAATGACTGACGTCGCATCACAGCATTTTGTATTGAATTGACCATCCATAAATTCAAATTACTTTAATATAGCAACGTCTTTCGGTCCCAGTGCTTAAAAATTTGTTATAACTTTTGAAAAAACCGTAGTGAAAAGCCAAGAAATTGTCAGAAGTTTCCAAGACTCTCTTGCTTACTCAGGGTAACTGGACCAGAAATTGTTTTCCTCTGATAAGTTATTACTAATATTCCCTATTTTAGGCTTTTTATTTCTATAATTTCAGATTACTTTGTGTAATGTAATCTCTAGATCTGTAGATTTTTCCACACCAGTTGTTAAATAAACAGATTACCATCATACATTGATATTTTTTATTCAGTTCCGATTCATTCTTAGGAAAACATTACGTTAATTTATATTAAATTTTCAGTTGTAAAGTATTCATCTACATGTTTTTCAGATACATATCTTGGATAGATGTTTGTGTTCCAGTTTCACATTTAGTTTCTTCACTCTAATCACTAACTGTCAACTATTAAAAAACGCCTTCAAGACGATTACTAATAATGAACTGCAGGATCGTTGAGGGAATGATTTGCACTGCAATTGATTCAGAAGTGAACTGTCCGTGTGATGAATGCAAAAAGAGACATTTTTCTAATGGAATTTCTTTCTTCTTCCTGAAAAATAAATTCTGGGTCGAAACTGTTTCTGAAGAAGAGTTGTTTCTAAGATTAAAGGTTCACTTATTTTTTTCCGTACATGTTCAAAATAAAGACTCTTAATCCACAGTTTGAATTTCAGCGTGATACCCTCCGCCACACTATTCGTGATTGCTTTGATTTTGGAAAAGTGGTAGCTGATATCCAGGTTCGCACAGACATATGTAGTGTTTCTTTTCAGTACACCTTTGGAGAATCTGTAATAAATTGGACTAGTGATGCTGTTGTTCCTGTTTCTTCTGTGGTACCTAGTTACATTATAAAAGAATTTATTTTTAGTTGCATTATCATGTTGTTTTGCCACTTTCATTTGCACTAGAATCACTTTGTAAAAAGCAAGATTTACTCAATAACAAGTTATTGGCTCTAAATCATCATACAAATCGGCTTCATGAAAAACTAATGCTTCCAAGTAACAATGATAATTTAAATGTCAAATTAAACTAGTGGGTGAGGATATGAAAAAAGAAGACGTGGATCTGGTTAGTTATTATTATTGAGAACCGGCTTTAGAAATATGATGGGATGTCACTGCTCGGTTGCTTTCATCATTAATTTGGTTCTAGTCTCTTATTTTTGCTTGTAACATTTAATGTGTAACGTGAATTTAGTACCTAGATATCTATTCGTGTCGATCTTATAAAAGTCCTATGAATATTTCGGAAATAAATTATTTATGATACGATTTGAACTCATTCCATCCACCTTATCTGATGGTTCAAATCTTTAGACGATTGTTTACTCTCTTGAGATTGACAGTACTTTTTAATCACTCCAGGCAAATAATTATAGGTATATTTCTAAAGGTATTAATTAACCACATACAACGTTTCACATGTAAGCTCTAGCAAAATTAATTTTTGATTTCATGGAGAATTGATCCGGAATAAATCACCTTTGGCAAAAATTTCATTCTTCATAATCTGGAAGTTTACATTAGACTTGTTGTTTTAAGAAATGCATACTTCCAACAGTACAAGTAGCTTTTCTAAGTATTCCACGAGGAAGATTACTCAACTTGTAACCATGTAATTACATATAGATAGTAGTAGTGTTATCGTTGTAATTTGGGATGTTACAGTCATGGTGATCAATCTAATCTCATTTTGCAAACAAAAAATATGGAAAAGAATGCTTACAACTAATGAGAGTATTTCCTGAGTTGTAATTGTTCACAACAGTATTTCGCTTCATGACATTCTTTTTAAATCAAGTAAATTTTGTCTCATACACCATAAGATATATATCAAGCTAGAAGCAGGTGGTAATTGTACTACGTTCCCCACAAACAATCAGTTCTTAGGATAAATAGGTTGTATCTTACAACAGAATCTAGCCCGTTACCCATCGAACTAGAGTCCATATACCCATCAATTTCTTGGGAGTTTAAAGCGAAACGTCCCGGGTTCAAGTATCATTGTAAATATAAACACTGGAATACAAATGCATTTAGTTGACCAGTCCTAAATAGCACTAAACGTGCACCTTAGATTTTACTGTTGGGTACAATCTGCCTATTGTAAAACCTTGTTACAAAATAGTTGTATTGAGGCAATCCATTCAAGATGTAGTTGTGCCACCAAAAGATGATCAAAACTCGATCCTAAATTTTTGAACGAGAATTTTTTTCGATAAATTCTCTTCAGGTTCTACAATTATATATCCAAATTAATAATTATTAGTTTGGATATATAATTGTAGAACCTGAGGAGAATTTATCGAATAGAATATTCTTCATTCAAATATTAGTCTTTTAATATGATGGGGATCTTTAAACGGTCAGTCCTAAATGTCAACAACAGGATAATTCAAACTCTTACTACAAATCATAAATCTTAAAATCAAGAACGGTTTCGATTTTTCTTTCGTTTGAAGTATCATATTCATTTGTTTCACATATTTTTTGTTAAGTCATTTTAAAACAAGTTATTTTGTCTGCCATAAATAAATTCATCGAATGGACATCTTATCATCTGAAAATCTTAGTATAGTAATTCTTTTTTTAAGTCTAGTTAATTCTAACGTTTCACACTTGTTTTAAATTCGTGGTTTTGCATATTTTTTTGTTTTGTCAGGATTTTAGTTATTCATATAACTTTTCAACAGGCTTACTTTCTTCGTCCTCTACTCAACATCTTTTTTGTGAGGCATCTAAACATTTATTCACTTCTAAAAGTATACTTCAATACTATTGGTTAATAAATTTAGTTCAAAATATGTGTGTTTCTCCGATACAACAGAAACAGCCTACACGTGGGATAATATCAAGTAATCCAAACACCAAAGATGTTCAGGTAATTTTTGTTAAATAATACGTCGATTGTCTTTTTTCTGTTGCCATAGCTCTCACCAGATAATATTTTGAATGCGAAAATGTTCTTCACTCCACGTCGATTAAATCATCTTTGAATTCCATAGTAATTTTTACTCTCAACTACTCGGATTGTTTCATGTCTCATTCGCACCATTGTGTTGAGATCTCTTTTCAATGTTAAAAAAATATATTTCTTTTACTCTTTTAGTATGAATAGATCTCAATAGGAATTTTGAACAGTTTCAATTCTTTTTTTACTACTACTATTCAAAAATTCATTTGGCAATTAAGTACTTCACTGACGAGTGAGTATTCACCAAACTATTACTCGAATTAGTAGTATTAGTAGCAGTGAAAATCTATACGGGAAATATTAATTTATGTGAAATGTTATCCCAAACATTGATTAACATAAACAGAATCAACTTGTTTCCTCAAGCTTTTAGTTAAAGTTGGGTGTAATGTATATATAGTAGTAATCATATGAATTAACCGTTTGAATTTGTAGTTACCCAATATGTGACTGCCTGACGCCAACATGATAGTTCACACACATGAGTATTCCATTTACATTATACAATGTTTGCTTACAGAAAATAGTTTGTCAAAATGAAGCCAAAAAATTATTTTCGTTGTAATTAAAACGGTAAATAGAAAGCTAACTGTAAAAATATTTGCGTTCCAATGCATTCGAATTTTCACTCTTCTGGATTGCCATATTTATTTATTTATTTATTTTAACACATAGATATTGGTACAAGGAGGCACCAAATACATATGCGCCAAACAAATCTCATTTGATTTTTGTGAGGGCTGTGATACTGCCCGGGTGCCAAAACTGAAGCAGGTGGTTTTCTTAGGGGGCCATTCCCCAAGCCTTCGACCTGAAGGTCTGATCCACAAGGCAGTGGAGCATCGTAAGGAGATGCAGTCCCATGGAAGCCGGTGACCAACAACTGCTTCATACACCATTTGTTCCCGCAGGATACTGGAGCCCATGTACATCATTGGTTTGGAATCCGGTTAAAGCGCCGGACATTCGCTTTTCGTCCTCTCATTTTCGTAACCAACACCCCAGCCACGAGAAGGCAGTGAGTAGGACTTCCCTGGCAGAGACTGTATACGCGTGGCTATGTGAGAGCGTTTCGAGAGGGAGAGCGGACTCTCTCCACTCTCGGCCGTATCAGGGCATTTGGGGGGTTAATGCCCCCCAAACGCCCTGGATTGCCATAAAGTATAACGTTATGGAGAATCCAATGTAACCCATTCTCAAATTCCGTATCTTGAATACTATTCTTATAAACAAGTATTAATCTCGCAAGTTTAGGTGTTGAATGGTCGTAGTCTATATTCATTATTTCCGGGAAACTCGACCCGTATCAACCGAAAAATTGGTCGTTTAGTCGTTATCCAAAATTTTTCAACCGTGCAAGTATCATTTATATAAGTGCTAGAAAACTCGGATTATGAGTAGCTGATTTTCATTCAAGAACACTAGCATTCTGGATCAAAAATACACTTTCTGCTCTTTTTTGTCTTCTCAGTAGTCGGGGTTGAGTCAAGGGCCATTAGGGGCGTAATTCAAGTCCATTTGGGGAGTATTTTGCGTCTCATCCACTACTGCGTCGATATTTTGATTTGCAAAGCTAGAAATGAGTTATAATATTAACGGACTAACATCACGAAATTATAGAATTGTTATGAACGGCTCAAATGAATGATCAAATTTCTGGAATAGATGAGATGGCTGCAGTAACTGGTTCCAAATACATTTCAGCAAATGGAACTTCTAAACAACCAAGTGAATATATATTAAGAAGTTACAACTATTGTTTCTGTTCAAGTGATTCACTCAAGATTATATAATTGAGTTAATAAGTTGTCACAAATTAGCTAGTAATCATTTCATACACATGATTACCATTACTGACTTGAAGAGAGCTGGAACAGAATAAAGGAATTCATTTTATTTATTCAAGTTCTCACATTTGCTTACAACCTGTAATGTTTCAAATAAAATTTAACATACTTGTGGATATCAAGCCGATTTAAATTCAGTGTGAAAGCATATCAGTACGATGTTATTTCCAAAACAAAGTTCTAAACTTAAAAAATAACTGTATTTAATTGTCTTCTAGGAAACAGAAGAGAAACGAAGAAATGAATTACAGAAAAAGTTGGCGGATAAACTGGGGAAGTCCAAAAGTAAAGAACTGAAAAAACATGGGATATTTCGAAAGTGATAAAAAAATTGAGTCTTATTAATCATAGAAACTTCAACTTGCCTTTTTTTTCCTGGTTACTTATTAATGGCAGAAGTTGAGATATCGGGAATTCTTTGTTGGGTAGTTGCCTATCGGGATTCAGTAAGTTACAGAAGTAGTTTGCGTGTTAGCAACATTTTGCACTCATACACGATTTGCTTCCATAAGATTCTGTTTCCAACAATATTTTGATAATCATTCTAAATCGTAGGGAATAGTACTCCAAGTCGGATGTAACACAGAAAGCATATTACTCACTTTACTTATGCCTGCTTCTGCTCGTAAGCATAGGCTGCCGACCGGAAATCTCCAACCAACATTTTCCTTCCTAGTTGTTCCCGAGTGCTATTCATTCTTTGGATGTCTGCCTCTAATTCTCAGCGCAATGTGTTCTTTGGTCTCCCTCTTTTTCCTTTTGCCTTCAGGACTCCAAGTTAGGGCTTGCCTTATGATGCAATTTAACCATTTACGTAAAGTGTAACCTACCCACTCCCAGCATATTTATGAGTGAATTGATCCTTGTGATTTTAAAAGAGGCGTTCGATGTACTCTTTTATAATGTGAAATATTTACTTTCAAGATAAGTGAAGTTGTCAACGCGTTCGACTGCTTCATTACCTATCTTCATTCTACGTGTTAAAGCAGGCCAATCCTGAAGCAACAACTTGCATTTAGAGGGCAAGAAACGCATCCCAAACATCCTGGCATTGTTGCTCAGTGCTACCCAAAGACTCTGCATTTTATCAACATCTTGGTGTCTGACGAAATTTCAGCACGGATTCATAAAGCTCGTTTGGCTTTCGTCAACTTACGTCACATATGGCGTAGGCGAGATATCCGTCTATCAATAAAACGATGAGTATACTGCGCAGCAGTTCGTTCTGTTCTACTTTACGGCTATGAAACATGTCCATTAAGAGTATAAGATACTCGTCAGTTACTAGTATTTGATCACAGATGTCTTAGAAATATAGCTCGCATCTTCTGGGATCACCGGGTGAGTAATAGTGAAGCCAGACAGGGTATTAGGGAATAATGGTAAATCAGTTGATGAGGTTGTGAATCTTCATCGACTGAGATGGTTGGGCCACATGTTACTTATGCCTGAACACCGATTACCACGACACAATGCTGACTAGTGTTGGAAGAAAGTTAGGGACGGCCAAACCAGAACGTGACATCAGTCACTAACATCTGGTCTGAGCCTTGTTGGTAGATGCAGACTATCGTAACCAATGGTTGGAGACTGGGCGACAATGACGTTGATGAATACTCCTTGTCTCTCCTTAAACCGTGAGATTAAAATTACTTTATTCCTACGAACTAATTCTTTCTTCCTGTATTATATCCTTATGTGCAATCTTTCATATATTTCTACCATTGGGTTGACTTCTATAAATTTGGTGTTCATCTTGTTGTGCTAATGAGGTGTGGCAACTTAAACCGATGCATATGTGTCTGGTCCTACCTTGTAGCTGATTAAAATATTTACTACTTAGATAGGCATACGAATACATGTACTTCGATACGATGAGTTTTTGCAGAATATGAGAATTGTAACATGCTAATATTTTCACTGGTATTTCTTGAAATGATCAGCGATTAGCCATGGAGTTTACGATGGAAGGTCGATACCGATGTAATTAGTCCAAATACGAACTTATTGATCAACATTACTGACTTATCCATTCGAAATTTGCATTCAGGGATTTGAGATCTACTCGCCAAAATGATGGCGAAAATTATTAAGTTAGTGGACTGCAGCCTAGGTAAAAATATAAATGCAATTATGATAAGTAAAACTAGTCTTAGTGACAGATCCTCACCATAATTCCCGATGGATTAGTATGAGCGATTCAGCACATTATGGTTATTTTTTTATTAGTAGAGAAATTAATATAAAGTTTCACTAGTCTTCAGAAAAGACTACATAATTATCTCCTGTTCGATTTTTGAATCATACCGTAGTGTATAGTAACCGAAACCAGTGATAGAGCTTGAAGTGGTTAACTGAAATGAGGCTCAGGATGTATTGTCCATACTATCCATGTATCGCAAAATAAATTTTAATACAGATAAACTTTAACCAATTAAGTTCTACAGAATTTCCAGTCAGTTCAACAACACGAGTCGATTTTCACGTGATGAAAGAGCTCTTGAGTTTTCGGTATGAAGCGTAAGGCGGCAGAACCATGTACACAGAAGGTACTGACTCATTGTATTTGGAACCGTTTGAAAACAATCAAGATTGTTTCCTACTGACTATCATCGGTCAAAAACATTAAAACGTCGGTTTACAAATAAATATACTGTGAACATTACGCTTGACTCTATATAAGCGGAAATACTTTATGCGATTGTTTCTTAAACCATTCGATCGGTATTAGCGCTTGTCAGGATTTTGATGCTTGAAAAGTGTCTATACAATTAAGGTGATCAAAATAATTTTACTTGAATATTACCACACTTCACTATATTCTTTATTTATGTACATTTAAAAAAGCAACTCGATCGTCGTATTATGCATACTAAATAAACCTGTTTTATTTTACATGGAGTGTTTTTTATATTACACTGAACTATACAAAAAATAATCGAAGATGGTAAAGTAAAAATCAAGTATGATGGAAACACCAAAAAGTTGAAAATACAGAAATTATACATTAGGTATGCAAGATCACATTGAAAATTTACTTCTTTTTAAAAAAATTACAGTAATTGACAAATTTACAAAAAAAAACTTATTTTAGAAAGACTAACTGTATGGTAGAGGCTAAAAACATGGATATCTGTGTAGTGAAGAGTCGACCTTTTAGTGGATAGTCTTAAATCACGATGTTACATTATCCGTTGAATATGTTTCATTTAAATGTGGATTCATACTAAACTGTTCTAGAAAGGCTTGTTTAACAGACATCACATGCCGTGCAAGACGTACAGCATCATTCCAGCGTAAACCAACTAGTCTATGCAGAACTGGTAAAGTTAATAACATAAATGCTTGCCCATCTACAGCTTCCGCTGCAAGCCATGGCCACATTTCTCGACAATCGGTACTGCCAAGATATGAAGCTAAGTCAACAGGTGTCCAAAACATAGGATTGCTTGGTAAAACTACTCTTGGAATATTGCAGAGCCACGAGTCAATATCTCTTTCCATTAGTGGAATATGGTTTGGAGGTAGTTGTGCGGTAACTGGACTGTTACTGTGTGAAGAATTTGGAATGTTGGGTACGGTTAAGCAGTAACTTGATGGGGCGGCTGATAAATGATTCAGGTGCCATGAATGCTGCAAGTTAGGGACAGGAGGGGTGTGTACATTTTTCGGGGTATCAAAGGCAGTAGTACACGCGGGATGGCTATGTGATTCACGAATGGATGATGTCTGATGGTTTACCATAATTGTATCCGAACTAATGATACGCTTTTTGCCTGCTGGATTGACAAAGTTGGAGCGGACAGATCTTTTGGATCCAGTACGCCCATTGTCAATGTTTTTGAAACCATTCGAGATATTTTCATTACCATGTTCCATGGAGTTTCGTGAGTAGTTTTGATGCTTTCGTTTGGCTTTGTTCACAAGGTTATTATTCTTTGAATTAGGAACTTTGCAACTATTTGACTGAAAAAAGGATTGGGACTCAAGCCTATTAACCCAATTTAAATTGTTTTGTAATGTTGATGTAGATCGAGTGACATGACTGTTGGGAGCACTCAAAATAATGCGATTCTGATCACTATCAAGATAAAAAGAGTCAGTAAATGCACGTAATGCAGTTAGACGCCTTTTCCATCCTGGAAGGCGATCAAAGTAACGCGAACGCAAACGGACACTACAGAAAGATGGACAGTCGTCAATCAAAGAGATGTTTTCAGTAGGGATTTGAGCTGCACTTAGGTTAGGGATTATTCCACTTGATTCCTGTAAAAAGAGACGATCAGTATCTAATCCATTGGCAGATGGTGATATAATTGAGTTGGATTCTTTTGGTAATGGAGGAGGAACAAGACTGAGGAGATGTGGACATGCTTCAAAAACTAGAGATATCTATAAAAGAAGACAGAAGAAGGAAATGTATAAAATTGACTACAATCAAAATAGTAATTAATTATTGTTTCCTAGTATAATCACTTTTAACATGATTGTTTGCGTACTTCACACTTTTGAAGCAATGTATATTACCTATACTTAATATTTTCGAACGCTAAAAACATTGACAACTTCATTTTTATGACTAATCTATGCACAACATAATGAATGGTGTGTGATAGGAGATTGGAGGGGAGTTTCGGTCATATAACCGAGAAAGGTAACGTCTGAGCATGTCTTAATGGGGTTGTTAAGTACACTTTTTTATATCGTTTCAATCTTAAGCAGTTTCAAAGTAGCGCAAAACCCACTGCTTTTGGATTAGATCAAAGATGCAGGTTTCATAGCTAACTTTACGAGACACATTTTACACACAATAGAAGCCATATTGTGATGTATTTAATGAAGAGAAGGTAGGTAAGCTGAATAACTAACAGCATCACTACAATTTTCCATACAAAACATAGCATCTGATAAATGTAGCTCTTCAGCAGGCTTTACTGGTACAACTGTTGAATAGGTTGGTCTATCTACTTACTGTATAGGAAAAATTTGTGCTAATTACAACATTCTGATAGTTATTTCAGGACTAAGAAAATAGTAAGAACAATTAAGGATCTTTACAAAGGAAATAATGCTAAGTGATTTAAACAATATCGGAATATATTATAACAAATTAATGATGAAAATACTGGGATCTCGACGGTGTTTTAATGCGATCCAATTGTCACGAACAAAAGTCAACATAGTCTTAAGAGGCGTGATTTATTTACCAAGCATAGGTTGGTTTGTGTACTCTGCTTCAAGGCATATTGTTGGTGTGAAAGCTAAGTGATAATCCTCGATAGCTCAGACCAAACTAGGTGGAGCTGGTAATTTATTTTTGTATTATTTGTTTGAATCTTCCCATTGTTGTTTAAGACTGCGATTGACCAGTCTATTATTGGCATACATGGATCCTGTGTGGATTACCTCGATATTGCTGTAAGTCACAAGTATTATAAGCAAAAACGGATGGTGGCTGGCATCGGACTTAAGGTAATATCGAGGTAATCCGGACAGGATGCACATATGCCAATAAGAGACTGATCGATTGCAATTCTAAACGTCAATGGGAAGATTCAAGCAATATATATAACTAAAGTTTACTAAATTAGGAAATCTATAGTAAGTTTGTGGTGTTTCAAGAGAAAAATCATGACCTAGATACAAGACTGGAGGATAGCAGTTTAACCAGCTCTACCCATTCTTCTTCTGCTTATCAAGTATCACTAGTGGATGTTGTCAAAAGCATAGTAAATAAGTATGCAGATAGGAACTGATTTGTACAAAGAATATGGTTAAGACAACTAATCCATACCACTAGATATATTCTATCAGACTATTTTAGCAGGTTAAAAAGTCTTTGTGTACGGTAAAACTTTGTATATGACTTACGATGACACTTAATTTTATTTCATTTGACAATATTGAATGATTTTTGAGTTTATTTGTCTGATAACTCTTAAAAAGTCACTAACAACGTAGAACTTCGTACGTACGTACATCAGTTCGAGTTGCCACACCACATTAGCACAGAGATGCAGTTGTCGATTCAAATCCCGTAATCGTAGAGGTAGTAAGAGTATAAGCAGTAATCGGGAAGATTAGGGTTTGAAGATGTTATTCAAGGACTATAATCCAGTGAAAGAAATTCGGAAGGAGGAAAAAAGGGACATGAAGGATTCAGAAGATTAGAATTTGGGAGAACACAGAGAGTGTATGCACCTGCGCCATTGCAAACGACTTTGAGCCATGTCATTCAGGGTCTCTAACCATTGGTTGCTATCATCTCGCGGTCCCCAACCAGGTAGACTACACCTACCAACATGACTCAGTCCACTTGTCAGTGACTTCATGGACTTGTGCCATGTTTTGGTTTGGCCGCCCCTAGCTTTCTTCCAACCTACTCCTATACCACTGAACATAGCACGTCGAGGCAGTCGGTCGTTGGGCATACGTAACACGTGTCCCAGCCATCTCAACTGATGAAGTTTCACTACTTCATCAATTGATTTGCCATCCTTACCTAGTACCCGTTTCCTAACAACTGTGTTACTTACTCGATGGTCCCATGATATACGAGCAATGTTTCGAAGACACCTATGATCGAATACTAGTAACCTACGAATATCCTCTACTCTTACCGGCCATGTTTCACTGCCATAAAGTAGGACGGAACGAACTGCTGCGCAGTAAACACGTCCTTTGGTTGATAGACGGATATCTCGCCTACGCCATAAATGACGCAAGTTGGCAAAAGCTAGTCGAGCCTTCTGTATCCGTGCTGAGATTTCGTCACACACCAAACCACAAGGGCTGATGAGACTTCCAAGATAAGTGAAGCGGTCGACACACTCAACTACTTCACTCCCTATCACTAGTTCGGGTGTCGATGTAACCCAATCCTGAAGCAACATTTTGCATTTCGAGGGAGAGAATCGCATCCCGAACATGCTTGCATTGTTGCTTAGAGTGGTCAGAAGACTCTGCATTTTGTCAGCGTCTTCACCAAATAAAACTATGTCATCTGTATATTCTAAGTCAACAAGTGAACCTCCCGGTAGAAGTTCAACCCCTGTAAATTTAGATGAGGAGAGTGTTATCTCTAAAAGTACGTCGACCACAAAGTTGAACAAGAATGGGGAGAGTGGACAGCCCTGACGAACACCACTTGAGGTAATCAATTCTGATGACAGTTCGCCATAAGCTCTCACTCTACCAGTTGTGTTCGAGTAGAGAGCCTTTATAAGGTTAATGTACTTCTTTGGTACTCCTTTCAGTGACAAACACTGCCATAGAACCTCACGATCAACAGAGTCGAATGCCGCCTTAAGGTCGAGAAATACTACGATTGTGGGGCGTCTGAACATGTGTCTGTGTTCTAGAACCTGATGTAGTGTGAATATCTGATCTATACAACCACGTCCAGGTCGAAAACCGGCTTGGTTTTCTATAATCTGCTATTCACGAGCTTTGATTAGGCGTCGAAGTATTATTGAGGCTAATATTTTAGACACTATATTAGTCAAACTGATTCCTCTGTGATTGTCACAAGAGGACTTTTGTCCTTTCTTATAGACAGGTACAATCAGTGATTGAGACCAGTCAGATGGGATTACGTCCAGTTCCCAAATTCTATCTAAGACCTCGGTTAATCTCATTGCTAATACTGGACCACCATCCTTAAAAATCTCAGGAGTAAACCTGTTAGGGCCTGCTGCTCTCCCTCGTTTCAGATTTCCTATGGCTTTTTCAACTTCGTAAAGGGACGGAGGACTTACATTAACTTGCCATTCAGGTTGACTAGAGATCGTGGGAAACCGAAGTGTGGCTGAAGGCCAGTTGAACTGATCCCTAAAGTGTTCTGCCCATCGATCCAATCTCCTGGATTGAGAATGAATAATATGTCCATCTTTCTCTGAGATTGTTTCGCTAACGGTCGGGTTCCTAATTCCGGTTTCCTTAACGAGTCTGAACAATTGTCTGCTATTACCTATTGCCGCTGCCTTTTCCATCTCTCTTGCTTTCGCTACCCACCACTGTTCGCGATCATTGCGTAGACTTCTTGTCAGCTTGCGAGCCCCTCCATCGGTGGCTGATAGCGATGTGATCTATTTGGGTCCAACGTTGGGACGAATTAGGGGGTCGCCATGTTAAAAGATGTTTTTCCTTATGCTTAAAGTTAGTATTTGCAAGGAACAGGCGGTTATCTGAGCATAGCTGCAACAGACGGTCGCCATTATCTGTTCTTTGAGCCATGACACCATAAGATCCACCTAGGTGTCTTTCCCTATCGGTTAGTTTACCTACTTGAGCATTAAAGTCACCGGCCACTATTACTACATCCGAGCGCTTAGCTTTTCGGAGAAGGTCCGAAAGCTTTCTGTAAAACTCATCTTTTACATCATCTGAGCTGCAGTTAGTGGGAGAATAGGCAGAGACAACGAAGAGGTAACGACGAGTGTTCCTATCTTTCCGGATTCTTACTGTTCCGTTAAGTCGGACAGCGCACAAACGACTGTCTACTAGGATCCACTCTAAGAGAGCTAGTTCTGCCCTAGGACTCAATGCTATACCTACGCCGGCGAGGCCACGGGAAGCAGAATCAGGGCTTCCAGATACACGAAGCGTAAATCGAGTCGGTTCTTTATTTTGGCATGGTGAGGTCAAATGAATGACGCTACTCGGATCCTGTATGCGCGTTTCGGAGACGCAGCACACATCGATGGCGTGGGATTCTAAAATCCTAGCTAAGGAAGCCTGTTGTCCTATTTGGCACAGTGTTCGTACGTTAAAAGCTCCTACGTGTAGTTTAGAGCGTGGTTTCAGGAGACCAGGAATAGAGTTCCACGTACTCGAATCGTTTGCCCTAGCGGTGCGAGGTGATAAAGGGACGTGAGGAGGGTTAGTCATGGAGATAAGAGAGGTATTAGGAGGTGTAGGAAGGATTTGAATGTGACCAACTTGGTCTCGTGTGCTGTTACGGGTATGAGGGCTGATGTCACTTCCCGGCTGCCCACACCGTGGAAGGGTATTTCTTGAGGAACCTGAAAAGGAAATTGGATTAGTGTTGGTCTTGACGACCTGGGAGCGTGACCGCAGAGCCCAAGGGACAACTGCTTGAGGCCGGTCGCGCACGGCCTTTTTGTGGAAGGTTTTTGACGTGTTAGCTCCGTTCTTCAAAGGGCCTTACCGCCGAGGACGGAGATCCGTGAGGTAAGGTGAGGTGTGACATTTTTAGGGTCGACCTTTTCTAACCCCACCCCTCCTTGTGGGAAGGCAGCATCGCTGTCATGCTGGTTGTCCGAAGGAAACACCTTACTGCTGTCACACCTCTCTACAGTCAGCAGTACGACTTCGCCCTCAGACCTTGAGTTGCTGCTTTTAGTCTTACCGTTCACCAATCGACCTGCCTGGTATGGTAGAACCTACAGGAACATATGTTCCAGCCAATATAGCTCGGTTGGGTCATCACGATAGGCAAGCCTGACCACCGCGTCAAGGTAGCAGCTTCGATCGGGACTCTTAAAAAGTGATTTCTATCGAACATACATGGTCAACACAATCAAGTAATTATAGTTAGGGCATATAAATTTATGTCTGGTAATTTTACTATCTTTAATTTGCACAAAATAGTGCTGAATACTCTAACAGATAGAGATAAACAAACACTAACTAGTCTCAGATTGTGACGGTTATATGAAACGAATAATACGGCGAAGTTGAATACATTTTCGTGTTGGAAACATGTCAATAAGTAGGTGTAAACAACCCGAATGGTGAATTCTACAGGATAAGGTTTAAGCATTATGTATTTAGTCTTGATTTTAATGATGATCAACTTATGTACAAAAAAATGACAAGGCAACGCATTTCATTTCAAATGAAATGTGAACACATACGTGTGTGTGCGCTATATAATACATAGAAAGGTGAAAAAACAACCTGTCTTTAGGCGGAATAATTTCTAGCTTATAATAAGAACTAAAACATGAGACCCGAAGGAAGAGCTATAATATGTTCACAACCGTTATTCAGAATAAAGGTAAAACAAAAGTTTTGTTAGCAATTGTGTTCATTGGGATGGGTAAATGTCAATGGTTAGATGATCTAAAACCACGAAACATCTATTTTTTCACCACAAACTGAAAATTACCTGTCGACAATATTCTTCAACTGCTCTTGTTCGACAACAAACTTCCACTGGCACCTCAATTTTTATTCCTCGTCTAGGACATCTCACGCTTACTAAAACCACACGCATAGCTTCACGACGCTGTTCAATGACTTCTTTTTTAGCCTGTTGGAGAGAAGGATGAATAGTGCTTCGTACTCGAAAATTATTATCTAGTCCAGTTGTTCCACAATCTTTGGTGTTTATCCCTGACAATTTGCGACTATTAAGAACAGATGCCATCCCAGTAACCCAATCAGCTTCGAACATTCGTAATACGCGCACAGGTTTATGGGCAGCACGGATCAAACGAGTAATTAAGCATTGCATCACTCTTGTTACTGAACCAGGACCGAATTGACGAGGAAGTAAGTCAAGGTTAGACTGAAAAACATTAAGTTTAAAATTTTTAGTTAAAAAACTGAATCAAAGAAGTGTTAATTATGATAGAATATTCACATGAAATAAGTCAAGTGTAAATGTAAAGCTATTTTTCCTTGTTAACATAATATTTCACTTTTAAGGTTTTCATGATTAGTCTACCTGATAACACGTGGAGATTTGTCAACTATCAATAAACATATTTGTTAAAATGAACAAAGTTATGTCAAAAACTACTGAAGAGTAATCTACTGTCATCTTAGAGAATATTGCCGGAAAAATTGTTCTCACAAACAACAATTAAAAAATTATCACTTAGACTCTATGTTACTACCCTTTTTGGATACAGTTGAAACATTCCAATAAATTATTTTTAATCAATACTTTACTAGTAAATGTTTTATATCAGTTCTGCTCCTAAAACCACTTTTTATTGAGTAAAAGTTAGATAATGTACTATAAAGAATTTGCGTTTTGAATTACATACAAGGGGAAAAATAAACCAATCCCCGGCAGTATCTTTTGCTTGAGTTTATAGATATTTAGCATGTTGGTAAACGGCATGCGTTTTTGAAGAAGCTAGTGAATAAACAATGGTATTAATATCAATTATTAATTAAAAAACAGCGAAATCATTGCAATGTTTGAGTAGAAGGTAGATAGATATCCCAGAAATTTAGTTAGGACATAAGATAATTACTTTGATTTGCCATAAAATTACTCAATAGTTAGTGTAGATAGTTCTCAGAATAGTAAGACTAACATTCATTCAAACCGTATCAATCTTGTCATATCGGAAGCAAAACCTACGACTGTACACTAAAAATACCTAATGACATTACCTGAACCAAACTTATTCTTCAACCGTTGTAAGCATTTTATTGTGAATAACTGATTCGAAATTCGGATGGATGATTAGATTACTCTTTAGTTTGAACGAATTCAAAAACATTTCAAGATGGAATGAAATTTATGCCACTACTATGAGTAAAATCAGTAGGCTTCAACATACACAAGGGAAAAACCAAGGTCCTCAAATTCAAAACGGAGAACAGCAATCCAAACACTCTTGATGGCGAAACTCTGGAAGAGGTAGAATCCCTCACATACCTGGGAAGCATAATCGATGAACAAGGAGGTTCAGACGCAGACGTAAAGGCAAGGATTGGCAATGCAAGGGCCGCATTCCTACAATCGAAGAACATATGGAATTCAAAACAACTTTCAACCAATATCAAAGACAGAATCTTCAATACCAACGTCAAGGCAGTCAGTCCTACTGTACGGAGCTGAAACTTGGAGAACTACAACAACCATCATCAAGAAGGTACAAGTATTTATAAATAGCTGTCTACGCAAGATACTCAACATCCATTGGCCAGATACCATCAGCAACAGCCTTCTCTGGGAGAGAACAAACCAGCTTCCAGCTGAAGAAGAAATTGGGAAAAGACGATGGAAATGGATAGGACATACATTACACAAATCGTCAAACTGCATCACGAGACAAGCCCTAACTTGGAATCCTGAAGGGAAGCGTAAAAGAGGAAGGCCAAAGAACACATTACGTCGGGAAATAGAAGCAGATATGAAAAGGATGGATAAAGACTGGAAGGATATGGAAAGGATTGCCCAGGACAGGGTTGGATGGCGAATGCTGGTGAGCGGCCTATGTTCCTTCACGAGGAGTAACAGGCGTAAGTAAGTAAGTAACTATGAGTAAAAGATGTTCGCTCGTCTCACATCCATAATTCATACAATAAATTCCTGGGAAAAACATGTCGAAAAAATGAAAGTAGACTGAAATCTGTCTAACAAATAATTTACAGATGAAAACATTTCAAAATGCTTACTTTACATAAAAAGGGACCAAGGTAACATCTTGAATTGATATAAATGGGTGGACATATTTCCTCTTTGATATAGGGTATAATATAACTTTGAAGTTCATGTGTAGGTTTGAAACCTCCAGGAATACAACAGTCTTTCCTTAATTGTGTAGAGGGAGTAGTTGATTCTTCATTTTCATTATTACTGTAAGATTTTTCGACATAAACTTCTGATGAAAAGCTTTCTTTAATATCATAGCCACTTGGAGGAATAAGTGGATGACCAACAAATTCGGACCAACCAACAGGATACAAATCGGTAGATCGAGCATCTACTAATATCGGTCTACTTTGATAATGGGTTATTTTCTCATCATTAGTAAAGTTTTCTACACACGGTATATCTGGAAGAAGCCATAATAAGTGAGGATATTCGACTCGTGTAACTGTAGCTGTACAAAGTGCAGGTCCAATATCACAATAATGAGCTTTTGAGCAAATAGATGCAGGTGGCACCATCTCCAACTTCATACCTAATAAAAATCTATTTGAATTTGTCTCATTCCTGTCCGATTTATAATTGACATCATTCTCATTAGTCTGCCAACT